TGTTTTTGTGTCCTTTGGGTAGATTCTTAGGAGTGGAGTTGCTGGGTCATATGGAAGCTCCATTTTCAGTAGTTTGAGGAACCTCCACACAGCTTTCCATAATAGCTGGACCAGTTTGCATTCCTCCCAGCAGTGTAAGAAAGTTGCTTTGTCTCAACAACCTTGCCAACATTTATTTCCTGTTTTTTTTTTTTTTTTATGTGCCATTTTTGTTGGAGTAAGGTGGTATCTTATTGTGGTTTTGATTTGCATTTCCTTCATTATGAGTGAGGTTGAACATTTTTTCATATATCTGTTGGCCATTTGTATTTTCTTTTTGGAGAAGTATCTTTTTAACTCTTGTGCCTATTTTTTGACTGGATTGTTTGCTTTGTTTTTGTTGTATCAGTTCCTTATAAATCTTTCTGATCATTCCCTTATTAGTAGTATTGTGTGCAAATTTTTTTTTTCCCAATCAGTAAGGTGTCTCTTGGTCTTGGTTAATGTCTCTTTTGCTGTACAGAAGCTTTTTAACTTGACGTACTCCAAGCTGTTCATCTTTTGCTTCACTTTCTTTGCTTTGGGGATTTTTTTTTTCTGTTTTATTTCAGATAGCTTCTATTTTAATTTTAATGATTTTAATTTCACTAGTCTTTTGTAATGTCTAATCAGTCATTAATTATCATCCAGTGTATTTTTCATCCTAGATATTATAGTTTGTATCTCTAGAAAGTTTGTTTTAAATCATTTTTACATCTTTCATATCTCTTAATGTTTTGACTATGTGGAATGTACTTTTACAACTATTTTAATATTATGTTCTACTAACTATAACTTCTGTGCCAGTTAAGTGTTGAGCATCTATTGGTTGGTTATTTAATGGGGTTTGTAGTTCTTTCTTCTCTAAATGTTTGGTAATATTTGACTGGTACCACATACTGTGAATTTTACCTTGTTTGGCAGAGGAAGTTTTGAGTTCTTGCAAATCTGCATGATTTTTGTTGTGGGATAAAATTCAGTTATTTGGAAACAGACATGCCATTGTGTTTTGCTTTTGTAATTGTTAAGCTAGTCTGAAGCAATGCTTATCATTTCCCAATACTGAGACAAGTCTAGGGCTAGTTATTAGCCACTGTTGCCATATACTTTTCTGTGTGCTCTACCAGATCGCCCATGAGTTAGGAAGTTTTCTGCAGTCTCCTGGTAGGAACAGTCACAGCCCAGATTTGTGTGAGTGCCAGAAGGATTAGGTTCCCTCTAATCCTTTTAAATTGAATGCAACTGAGATGAAAAAGTAAACAAAATGAAGAATGATGTAAAAAATAAATTTAAAAAAGAAAAGAAAATATCTAAAACTTAAAAAAATAAATTGATGGCGTTATTTCAAACATAGAAAAGAGTCGGTCAAATCATAACCACCTATGTGGGGAAAAAGCCATGGAAGGGAGAAGAGAAATGGGGAAATCAACACTTTTTCTTAATGTGCCAATACATGTTTTTAATTTAAGCTTGTCAGTAATTTTATAGGATAAGTTTTATTACCAGTTATTATTGGTGAGCAGACAGATAAAAAGGTTAGGTACACTAACCAAGCTACTGGCAACACCAGTCCTTAGAGCTTATGCATTTTCTAATCTATTTGGTATCTGGGCTGTTACTTCAGGGCAAGGAGAGGTAAGGGGCGAGAAGAGCCAGCTAATCCTTATGTTTATATAAAATTTGTGAATTTTGCATCATCTCTTTTGGAGGAAAATATGGGAAAGATGGGCAGTGAATTTGTGCTGTGTGCAACTGCATTGCATAAAATAGTTTTGTGGGAGCAGTGCTTGTAATTCTGGTCATCCCTGTCCCATAAGTCTTGCTGCAGGACCCATAGTGTTTCCCCTGTTGTCTGAAAGTAGAATGTTTGTATTTGGGTTATTTTTTGAGTCTGAGAATACTGCTACTGTTAATTTTTGTTGAAAAGTATTTGAGTGTTCCCATTTCCAAAAATAGCGTACAAGTCATACCAAATATGAATGTTCTGCTTATGAGTAGCAGGATAAATCAAGTTTGTATAAACTTGTATGTATTTTTTAAAATATCACTTTATACATAAATAGCAAATTGAGTAGACATAAAGTTTTCATTTGGCTGATTCTGGAATGTGAATAGTCTAAGAAGTGACCTTTGTAAATATTCTGTGTTTCGATCCCTACCTTTTTTTAGACTGTTGTGCTCTGCTTAGGTTTTTTTTTTTTTTTTTAAGATTTATTTATTTATGCATACAAGAATGGGATACAGACCAGAAATGTACAGTAGGGAGGCAAAGGGGGTGAGAGAATTCACCAGAGACTGAGGGGAGTAGTGGGCAGGTCAGGAGAGGTCTGCTGTGCCATTTGGGTCACCTCCCCAACCGGGGATTGAACTTCTGCTGCAGTGGCCACAGAGACCTTCATAGTACTGCATTTTAATCCATTGCACCACCAGAGAAGGCCTGTTAAGTATTGCTGAATAATGTGTTATATTACTTACAAATAAGTAATATTAGCAAATAGTAACTATATTATTACATACTCATACAAATTGGTATCTGAAGAGTTAAATAGTGGCAGTTCTGTGTAGTTGAACATGATGGTGTATTTTGAAAAGATGCAACAATACTTGTAAACACTGTGCTACAATGATCATGTTTGTTTGACTTCCCAATACCAAAGTAGAGGGCCTGGTACATAATGAATATGCAACAAATAACCCATGAATGAGAAGCTGTCAGGTTTGGATGGTCCATAAATGCTTTGTAAGAATTTGAGATAGAGATTAGGGGAGATGTCCTCCTTGTTGGGGCCTAAGTTCTTGAAAGGCTAATAGATAAGGATATTTCAGCAAGGCTTTATTTCCAATGTGACATAAACATTAAGTAAAATATTACTACAGCGACTTCTTTACTTTCTAATAGTTTTCTCCCCTTCAACCATTTTGAAGATCCAAGCAGAGAAATGAGACTCCTTGCTCTCTGGTTGCTCTCTGGTTCCCTTTTTAGAAGAACTCTCCATAGTTGCCCTGCTGGTGGTTAAGCTTGCCATAGTCTGGGCAGTTTTTCTGTTGCTTTGCTTTTCCTTTTTACATTCAGAGTGGTGATTGCATCGATAGCCCTCCTTTATAATTTGGGGCCGGACAGATAACCTTTTTCTGTGTACTAACATCTTTTACAACACAGTCTATAATATGCATTATGTTCATTTGTGTGTCCTAGTAACTTCCATAAATTAGCTCGTTGACATACAATAATCAAAGACTTAGACTATGCCATAGTCTCCCACTGCTTTTCCGGAGCCATATGTTTTTAGATTATGTGTTGTAAGAGGGCAAAGGGCCACGAAGCCTCTGACTTGTTCAGAATTGCCCAGGGGTCTTTATCACAAGTATCAAGAATATGACTGCTTTGGGACATTGTTTCCAAGTCTACTTTTCTACTATCAAGTTTCACCCACACAGTGGTGAAAAATTAATGATTTTTAAAATCCTAAGCAATGGATTATGTATTTCTAATAGTTCTTATAAAATAAGCATTTCCTTGAGTTACATAAGTCTATGAAATCATAGCGTTGTGATGATTTTACTTCTAAAATACCTCTAAACCTTAATCATCCTTTAATCAGGGTTGTGTTAGCTTCCTGGATTTACCCCTGATTTTCTCCTGTGTATTTTCCATATTGGAATTATAAGTAATCATTTATAAATTTAAATTTTGAACTGCTTAAAAACTGAATTCTTTGTATTAAGTTCGTTAACAAAGATAAACAAAAGGCCTCAGTTCCTGAGCTTCATTGATTGGTAGCCTTTCCTGGACCATTTTCTTAGTGCTGTGTATTTTGACCAGTCTGGCCCGCCTGTGGCTCTTTGAATACTTGTCTTTCGTTCTACTTTTGTATTTTTGCTGGCTTTCCTTCTGCCTGTGATGAGGGGGGGGGAGGGGAGAGAGAAATAGTAGGTACATGTATTTAATTAATTCTTTCTTACCCTGTGTTCTGGATTCAGATTTTGGAAAACTTTCATTAGCACACTAGTAGATCAACCCCTAACGTTATTTGTTTCCATGATACCAGGTAATTATTTTTCATAACACTTATCAGTTTAATGATACATTTCTTTGTTATTATTTGATTGAATATATGTCTGTTTCCCCACTGGATCATAAATGCTAAGAAGGTAGATTCTGCATTTTTTTGCACATCATTGTATCATTGCTGCCTATTAGAATTTTTGATGAATGAATGAAAGTCACTCAAGGTAGTAATTACAATAGGAACATGTGAGCATTTTGGTAAAAGAAAAAAAGACTTGTAATCAGACCCCAGGAAGGTGAGTTTTATATTAAGGTAAGGTTATACACACACACACACACTCATACACACACACTCCCCCACCACACTCCTCCTCCCTCCCATTCCTCCCAGACCACTTCCATTTAGCTCAGACCACTTTATATTTTCTGTTGTTCTATGTGCCCTTGTGGGAAAAGTACTGTTCTTTATATAGAAATGTTTCTATTGCAGGTATAATGTTTTCTGTACCATTGGGAAGGATGTAGTATAGCATTGGAGAAATCACCATTTGTGTTTATATTTATTTTCATAAGTGTATGATGAGATAGTAACTAGTCTTTATTTCTTAATATGTGGTAAAATGAGAGAGATATTAAAGGCAAAACATTAAAAATTTTTTTTTTTCAAAATAAAATAGTGAACCACTTATTTTTCTAGCAAGGCAGGAAATACCTCAGTTTTAGCATTTCTGTTCAATTCAGAATTATAAGGAAGAAGTGCTAAGAGTTTTAACATGAAAAGCTTTAACTTTGATGCCTGTACTGTAAGTTCTAGAAGGATATGAACCATGTCAGTTTTACTGACATTACATTTTGACTGAAATGTAGGAGTTTGTAAGCAGCGTTCTGTGATTTCTTTGCCTTCTGGGCATTCTGCAGAAAAGAACCATCTGAGGCAAGACACTTGATATTTGTTTCTTTTTTTTTATTTCAGCTGTGGCAGAAGTAAAACTTCGAGATGATCAATATACACTGGAACACATGCATGCTTTTGGCATGTATAATTATCTACACTGTGATTCATGGTTTCAAGATAGTGTCTACTACATTGATAACCTTGGAAGAATTATGAACTTAACAGTAATGCTGGTAAGGAAAATTACATTAAGGCTAAGATTTTTCCTTTAAACAGCTGAGTAGCATTTCATTGTATTGTAATATTCTCCTCCTAAACCATTTATCTGTCATTGGACTTAGGTTGTTTCAATAACTTGGCAATTGTAAATAGTGCTACAATGAACAATATGACCACATATAAAGAGTTTTTCTCTGCCTTATTTTTGTGGTTGATTTCTAGTTTAATATCACTATGATCAGAGAAGAATATTTCTGTTTTAAAATTAAAGTTTCATGAATTTATCAATACCTGTGTTTTGACCCAATATATGTGATTTGTCCTGGAGAATGTCTCATGTGTACTTTAAAGAATATGTATTCAGCTTTTTGTGTGTGGGAGGGCAGGGGGACTAATATGGCTTAATTCTTTGTGTAAGGCTCTTGTTTTTTTTTTTGTTGTTGTTGTTGTTGTTTCTTGGTCCATTGGTGAAAATGGTGTGTTTATTACGTTTTTCCCAGTGTCTTCACATTTGATAATTGCCTTCCAAATTTTGATGCAGCTTCACTTGAATATATACTGATGAGTGTAAATATTCCTGATGTATTGTTCCCTTAACCATTGTACAGTGTGCATTCATGTCTTGTTACCTTAATTTATCGGAAATCTATGTTATCTGTTTTATGTATGGTTGTCTCAGCCTTTCTTTGGGTCCTGTTTGTTTGTAGTATTGTTTCCCAGCCCTTTACTTTGAACCTGTGTCTATCTTTAGACTCAGGTAAGTTGGGCTTTACTTCTGACCCAGTGAGTCACTATGTGCCTTTTGATTGGTGAATCAGTCTGTGCACATTTCGGGTAGTCATGGATATCTGAAAGTCTGCTACTACTGTTTTCTGCTCAATTTTCTGGTTCTGTTTCCTTCTTTAGGTTTTGTGGTCAGTGTTCTATTTGGAAAGAATTACTTTTTATAAAATAAAATAGTTTATTTTTACATCATTTTGTGCCTTTTCCCACCTCAGTTGTAATCCCCGTGGGCTTACCTTCACCAAATCACCCGTGTGCCATCCCCCCAACCCCGTTTTTGATCCCATTCCCCGCTCCACCCCCATAAAATGAATCTGGTATATAGTTGTTATTATTCTTCCCCCCCTTGCCCCCCACCCTGGTCCTTTATACTCTTGTTATGAGTGAAACCACCAGTATCTTTATTTTTTCTTTACTGCTTATTTCACTCCATCCATGTTGCTGCAAAAGGCATGTGTTTGTCTTTTTTGATTGCTCAGTAATATTCCAGTGTGTATATGTACCACATCTTTTTAATCCAGTCATCTACTTTTGGGCATTTGGGTTGATTCCATGTCTTTCCTATTGTAAGTAAAGCAGCAATAAATATGGGGTGCAGGTGTCTTTTTGAATCAGTGTTTTTATGTCTTTTGAGTAGATAACCTAGGAGTGGGACTGTTGTGTCATATGGAAGCTCCATGTTTAGCAGTTTGAGGAACCTCCAAACATTTTTCCATAGTGGTTGTACTCGTTTGCATTCCCACCAGCAGTGCAGGAAAGTTCCTTTTTCTCCACATCCTCGCCAACATTTGTTGTTGCTAGTTGTTTTTTAAGATGTTTCATTTTCACTGGTGTGAGGTGGTATCTCATTGTGGTTTTAATTTGCATCTTCCTTGTTACAAGTGATGTTAAGCATTTTTTCATATGCTTGTTGGCCATCTGCACTTCCTCTTTGGAGAAGTGTCTTTAGCTCTTCTGCCCATTTTTTGATGGGGTTGTTTATTTTTGTTGAGCTTCATCAGTTCTTTATATATCTTTGTGATCAATCCTTTATCGCTAGTTTTGTGAGAAAATTTTTTCCCAATCAGTGGGATGTCCGTTTTTTGTAATGTCTCTTTTGCTGTACAGAAGCTACAAGAGCACTTTTTAACAATTCTTGGAGTGGATGTCTAGGGCTTGCAAACTCCTTCAACTTTGAGAACACTGACTTCTTCACATTTGAAGGAGAATCTTGAAATATATATTATTTTTGGCTGACAAGTTTTTAGTCTCATGTATTTTGAATATTCCCTCTTCTCTCACTTCTCCTGAAATCCCCATTATTTTTATATTCCTTTCCTCACAGTCAGATATTTCTTGAAGCATTTCGTCAATGTGTTTTTTTATTACCCTTGATTCTTCTACCTGGATTCTTTGTGTTTATCATATTCAAGTCACTATTTCCACCTTTCCCTTGGTTATCTACTTCCTTACTTCCCCCAGTGTTTTTGTTTCCTCTGTTATCTTTTACATGCTACATCTCCATTCCTTATTTAAAACTTCATGTTTTGCCTTGTGTTGCCTTATTTTATTTCTGAGGACATTTATTCATTGTCTGAATTTTCTCATCTATCTTTGATCAGCTTTTCTGTGTTTTCTTCCATTTATTTGGCAATTTTGATCTGATAGAAAAGATCTTTTATGTCTTTGTGGTTACATTCTGAAGATTGTTGTCTCAGTGGTGAACTATGTTCTTGAGGACTCAAGGTGCCACGTGTTTTATTTTCCTATCTGCCTATTTTGTAGCTTTACAGTTTGCTTTTTTTTTTTTTTTTTTGCTATGTCTAGGGTGCAGAATTTCTGCTTTTTCAGCAGATGGAACAGAGATATTTTTGAGAGATGGTCTGTGCTTACTAACTTGGGGTGGAGAAGAGGTCCGGTGGGGCCCCATCACTAATGAAAGTGGTTTGTAAGGGTGGCTTGTGCTGATAGCCTGCCTCTCTGGGTTTCCAGAACTGTGTATCTCCAGTTTGGGACTTCGCTCTTGCAACTTACAGGATCAGCTTAAGTCCTAAGGAGGTAGGGCAGGGGGTACAGTTCTGAGCTTGTATTCTTCACTGAGGAACTGGGTCTGCATTTAAATCCAGCTCCTCTGCCCACTATCTCCCTCACTTGAGGATGTGCCTCTGCACCACTCAGCTCTCCTCTTCCCATGGTTGCAGCCACATATGGGAGCACTGAGGCTCAAACCACGGCCAGTCTCTACACATACTGCTCCATTCTTTTGCTGTATGGAGTTGAATTTCCTCGGTGTCTCTTCTGGTGTCGTCAGTGTTGGTTTCCAGTGTCCAAGAGGCACTCTGTCTTTGCTCCAAGTCATGTTGTGCTTGGAGTCGGTGCCCCCTGGACTGCTTTCGTGTTAGCTCCCACTCAAGTGAAGCAAGTAACCTCCTCTGACACCATCTTCTGCTTTGTTCTGGTTTTATATTCTTGGTAAGATGTTTCTGTTGTTATTTTTTTTTCTAGGTACAGGTATGAATCTTTGGTTTGTTGAATAAGTAATTTAATTTTAATGAGTAAGAAATACTTAGTTTTTCCCCAACAACATTTATACACTACAAGCATGTGCTTCACAGTCAGAGACACAAATAGAATGGCATGGAACAGTGGAAATAGGGAAAAGGTGCAGAAGTAGTGTAGTAGAGGAAAATGGTAAGAGTTGGGGGACAAAATTTCCAGGGGTGATTTGAGAAAATGTGTCACCTTAACAGTTTTGAAGGATCAGTTAATTTACCATGAAGATCGGCACACCTGTGTGCATTCAGCTAATTTCCACACTCAGTTTTACACCACATGGAGACTCTGCGTTACTGTCTTGAAACAGAGTTTGTGCGGACAGACCTAACTAGTATGTAGACGATACTGGATGAGGGCGGCACGCAGAGGCCAGATTTTGAAAGGAGGCTGGGATGACTTGTCATGTCTTTTTGTGTTAAGCAAAGAGAAATATAAAAAGGACAGGTTGGAAAGATTTGGGATTGTTCTTGATTGGGAGAAGGGGCTACAGATAGAGTAACAGACAAACATAGTACAGTACTGAATCAAAGAACCAATCTGCTGATCAGGAAAATAAGAAATAAATGTGGTACAGAATTTCTCAAAATTGGTCACTGGACCACAAGCAAAAATCATCTGAGGTGCTTGGTAAAATGTAGATTCCTGTGACTGGCTTGCAAATGACTGCTCTTGTAAAATCTGGGCTAATTAAACACTATGTGACCAAGGTGAAGGTTTAAGAAGGAAAAACCTATTGTGTCCTCCTGCTATTGCCTAAAACAGCCAGCAGATAGCAGTAGCTTCACACTGATTTTTTTGAGACACTACAACTAGTAGGTTTACAATCCTCTTCTAGAGAAATTATCAGTTGGGAGGAAATGTGCTCGGGACATAGAAAATGCTTTAAGAAACCAGAAAGCAAAGAGAAATCCAAACACAGTATGTTTAAGCTATCGTTTTTATTGCCATTTTATTATGGCATTTTAGGCTTAAATAATGTGTTCAAGTTTCTTAATACTTAGGGAATTAATTCTGTCATAACTTTCACCTATTTGAATTAGTTTCTGCTACTATAGAATGATGTCATCTAATGGTACCTCTTTAAATTGCACTTAAAGATTCAGAGCAGTTAATGGATTCCATTTGTAAGCATGTATTTGTGAAACTATCTTGTAGGACAGGTTGCAAGTATTTGTCTAATTCAGTTGTATGCCATTGTGATCACATCTAAACATGAATGTCAGCTTGTAGTCTACGGTTGAGTTAATAAGGATCCACTTAATTATCTTAAGAAAAAAGTAAAAGAATTAAATTATTGGGAGAACTTTAAGTTACATATCAAATTGCTCAAGATCCAATTAATTTAAAACATCTTAACATCTTAAGCATTAGGAACAAAAAAGAAGGAAGAGGAAGATTTTTTTCCAAATAAAGTTACTGGTGATGATAGCTTTTCTCTGGAAAAAATAATTACTTCCTTTTAAAAGGGCAAACTTTAAAATGCCAATTTATAATAGCAAATGACATTGTTACTGAATTTTCCTTTTCCATCTTTTTATTAATGTATATTTATTTGAAAAGTGCTTTGTTGGTTCAAAGCTTATTTCCTGTTCTTAAAACTCAGAGACCCCCAAATGCCTGTTTTGAGATATTTTCCATAAATATATACAGCTTACAGATTATTACTTATTTAGTATTTATTTATAGTATTACTTAGATACAGCATGTGGACATTAAAATTATTGGCTTCTTTTATTAATGTAGCAACCTAATTTAAAACACTGTATATGGACCTCCCTGCAGGCTCTAGAGGTTAAGTCTCAGTGCTATCACCGAGTTTGATCCCCAGCCAAGGAGCAGACCCACATGTACAGCAGACCTCTCCTGTCTCACCTGTTGCTCCCCTCAGCAGTGTACTTCAATCTGCCAGTTCTGCTCCACACACTCTTGTCTGGTGAATCCTCTTAACTTCCTGTACCCCAGTTCTTCACAAAAAGTAAAAACTTGAAAAATAAGTAAAACACTGTGTAGTATTGGCCTATAGGAAATAAGAATATTAGCCTGCAGAAATATTATCATGAAGAAAATGTAATACTTGCATTTATAGTGGGGTTTTTATTTTTGGGAGGGGGCAGTATCCTAGAAATTGTAATGAAATAGAGGTAATCATTTCACTTGGGAAGTGATTTCTTCTCAAAGTGTAGAATACAAGGAAGACCATTAATTTTCCAGGTGGGATCAGTGGGGATCATAATCTTGGTCCTGACATCTGGCAGTGGCATTATGGGCAAGTTATTTCATCTGCTTTATAAATCAAAATGAGTACATTGAAGGATAGGTAATGTTTTTGAAGAAAACTAAATTGTGTGCTTTAGAAACAATGGGTTGCTAGAAAACTTGGGGCCTTAAGGACATAGTTTACTTAAATTTTGTTTATACATGATGTAAGTCGTTCTAGAGGTACTGAATGAAATGTACAAGTTATGGATTCACCGTTTTAAAAATAGATTTATTTTTATTTATGCATCTGAGAACTGGGGTGTAGAACAAAGGTACAGGGGATGATTCAGCTGAACATTTTGCTGAATTCACCAGCAGAGGTTTCATCAGAGACAGAGTGGGGAAGAAAACAGGAGAATTTACTGAAATACATCTCTGAGGGATAAAAGTTGGAAATCGAACACAGGCTGCAGGGGTAATAGCACAGAGACTTAACCCCTAAGCCACCAGGAGGCCCCAGTTCTTTTTGTCTTATAAGAAAAGTTGTTAAAACTAAAATAGTAAGTTACTGAATTGAGTACAGTTTGATGTATGAGAGGAAGCTTATTTTTCTGACTGTAGACTTTATGTTTTACTGTAAAACATTTTAATGAGATAATCCATTTAAAGTATAACAATGCAGACCATTAAAAAAAGTGTCATATCCGGAGTATAACAGACCAGGCAAGAAAATAATAATAATAATGAACAGCTGTATACCAGAGACATTTTATGGGGGTGGAGTGGGAAATGGGATCAGAAACAGTAGGGGAAAGAAATGCACTGGACTGTGGTGATGGCACACAGGTGATTTGGTGGTGGGAAGCCCACGGGGATTCCAACTGAGATGGAAAAATGCACAAAATGATGGTTAAAAATAAACTATTATATATTTTTTTAGAAGTGTGTCAACCGAAATGAAGTTAATACCTAATTGTAGTGTTTTCATTCCATACACTGATGTCTGTGTGGACATTTAGAATATGATGTGGTATTTTTACTTGAAAATACTGACCATTAACTCCAAATTTGAGAGAATATTTAGATTTTGAGAATGAAGACTATATTCATTATCCTTGCTGTGTAATAATTTATTTCAAAACTCAGTGTGTTGGAACAGTGAATATTTGTCATTCACAGTTTCTATGGGGCAGAAATCAGAGTGGCCTAGCGACATGGTTCTGTTTCAG